AAAAAAGAATCATTTCATATTACGATGGAGCTTTCGAAAAACAGCCATAAAGTCTTTGATAAAGACGAATTCATCCGAAAATTTGCCACAAATGTTTTCTTTTTGACTAGATAGGGTTTAAAATGGAAGGGTAAGAAATTGGAAATAAGCAGTAAGTAAGAAAATTGGATCAGCTGTGTATCGCCGATAGCACAATAGAATAAATAATTGCGCAATGAAATTTTAAAAAAATTGAACATAGCTTAAATTGCGTATTTGCGAAACTAGACTTAGCTGGAAACATGTATTTGAAAAACTGACATAACACAAAATGTGTTGAAAAAGCAGATATTACTTGAAATGGGCGATTGCAAAGATAGGCAAAGCTTAAAATGCTTGTTTAATAAAAGAAAAACAGCTATTCAAGAAAATTTACAGAGCATTTGATGTTTTAAAAACTTTAATTGATTATATTTGAAAGAAAAAGGATTATTCATCTTTTTTTCCCTTTTGTGTTGTACTTTTGAACTAAGTTATTTTTAAACTGATTTATTACGCTCTTTTTTACTGAAATTTTTCGTTCATTGCTTAACAATGAAAATTCGCAATTAGTTTCGCCAATTATAAATGCGCCTGTAAGAGTGCGTTATGTATGTAGCGCGCATTAGCGAAACTAAACTTGCCATCTGACACGCTTTGCTTTTCATCACTACAAATCTATGATTTTTATGTAAGTATGTATAATTCCTATGTAAAATTGAGTGCTATGTTATGTATTTATTTATAGCTATATGATATGNAAGAAAATTTACAGAGCATTTGATGTTCTTAAAACTCTAATTGATTATATTTAAAAGAAAAAAGGATTATTAATCTTTTTTTGTCACGTTTGTTTTGTACTTTTGAACTAAGTTATTTTTAAATTGATTTGCTCTTTTCAAAAACATAAACAAAATAAATGTTGGTATTGAAAATTTTCGTTCATTGCTTAACAAGGAAAATTCACAATTTATGACATGTTTAGTTTCGCGAATTATAAATGCGCGTGTAAGAGTGCGCTATGTATGTAACGCGCATTAGCGAAACTAAACTTGCCATCTGACACGCTTTGCTTTTCATCACTACAAATCTATGATTTTTATGTAAGTATGTATAATTCCTATGTAAAATTGAGTGCTATGTTATGTATTTATTTATAGCTATATGATATGTAAGTAAGCATGTGAGGCCTATTACTTGGGCATTTTTACTTTTAAGTAGAGGCGATGCAGTTTAATTTTTTTCTTAAATTAATTATTATTTCACAACCATTTGCTAAATTACAAGAATGCAAGAGAGAAGCAATACTCTAAAGACAATTAAAAATCTCTTGAAATAAGGTGACGTGTAACGGTTTAAACAAGTATATTAAATGCTAAATAATCCGACGATAATGTACTCAAATGTAGGCAAAATTAATTTTAGCAAAAAAACCTGTTGCTCTGAATGGGATCTATCAGCATTCATTCACTATCATAGGGAAAAATCTTTTACCAAAAGTGTAAAAGTGTGATTGGCTAAGCTCTAAAGATTAGTTCACTTAACATGGGACAATAAACTACTTTAATTAAACAATTATTTCGGATTTTTTTTTCTCAAAAAGAAAAATAATAAAAATAAACAAATAGCATTTTTAAAATGGTAAAGAATGGGCTCATTTCAATGGCTGCGAGTATGATTTATAAACTGTATTGGTATCTTTGTTAAAAACAATTTTCTAATTTTATAGAATATGTTCATTTCAATGAAAACGGATATGAGTAAATAAATTTTACGTGATTTTTTTTTAGGCCCTTCGACGCAGTATCTCTTTTACATATATTTTTCGTGACGCTCAAATTACAAGAAAAAATATATATATTAATATTTTTGTGTATAAAAAACAGTTTAATAATTACTTAAAACAATTATGATAAATTATTGGAATTATATTTTTACTTAATTGTAAAATCAGAAAAAAGTAGTTTAATTTTTTTATATAGATATATATTTAAAAATTAATCAAATTGTTTATTTGTAAATTTAAGAAATGATTGATTAATTAAAGATTGATTGTAAATTAAAGAAGTTAAAAGAACTTTTAATTAACTGCAAATAAGTGCAAATTTGAAAAATGATCGTTTGGAGGTGAGCCGTTTTAGGAAATTTTACCTTTAACGCTGAAAAAGCCACCTATGTTTCCTGCTGTTTTTCATAACCATAAATCATTAAAATGCTAAATATAATATTTTTCACTTATTTTGACTTAAATTAATATAAAAATGAAAAAAATTAGAAAATATGTGTTTAAGAAAAATTTTGTGCCAACTGTTATACCAATAAGAATAAGCTCAGCAAACGAATATGATTGGACAATTATTTTTGAGATATTTTACTTAAAAAGCTCTAAAAATTGTAAAAACTAGGTTCATTTTACTAAGGTTCAATATGATTGAATAATTATTTTCGATGTTTCATTCTTCAAACACTTTTCAAATTGCAATGAATAGGCTCCGTTTAATGCACACAAATATAAGTTAACAATTATTCTCATGATTTTTTTTTCAAACCTTTTTTAAATATCATAAGATAATATTTACCACTACTCAGAACATTTAAAATTACACATTCATTTTTGTTGAAGTTTCTACTAGTGTTTCTCAGAGCTATCAAGACTACATAATATCGATGTCAGCAATCGGTACGTAATTAACAACTATGCGCCTACCTCATTCCCCTGTATTTTACATAACAGTAATACTATAGAAATTCCATTCTGAAACAAACCATTGTTTTCATCATATACTTATTCAAACCAAATAATCGAACCAAAACTTTTTATGAGTTTTTACTTTTGGATGCATTTGAAAAGCAATCAAATTACTTCATTTTAAAATAAAATTGACAATGTGAGCATTTTATAACCTGAGTTTGTATTTCAGGAATAGAAATTTCCATAATTTTTAAAACATTCCCTAGGTATTATTTCTCCTTACCTCAGCGATCTTTCTTTCATAAATAAATCATTTTTCTAAAAGAATATTTATCTTTATTTTTAGTCATCAGTTTTTATTGAAAATTTTAATATAGTAACATTAAATTTTTTAGTCAATTTTCGGTTAATAATGGCTGATATTTTATTAAAGCAAAGCTACTAGTTAATAATGATTAAGCTGGTGGCATAAACATATGAAATTCCCTCTCCCTGAAATCTTACTCTAAGATATCGTGCATATATATTCAATTTACGTCCTGATGGTTATGTAGATACCGTTTAGGAATGATGTCATACAATACTAAGACCCTTATAAATACTTAAGATACTCTTAAATAATAATTGCTACTGTGGTAATTAGAGTAGTTAAAGTTAATATTCAATTGTATAGTTTATTTGAAAATTATTATTGATAAATAATTATAATGCTCATGCAAAAATATTCAAGCGATAAAATGATTTATTCACTGATTGTTTGCAATCCTCATGAGAGAACGAAAAAAAACTATATATATGTTATATATTTCAAACAAAAAAATTAGTGGTAGTTTAAATGAGTTCCTAATTAACTTTTATTTAGGAGTAAAGAGCCAATGTTTTTTTTAATTTTAAAAAATATAAATCGAAGATAATTAGAGGAATATATTAATATAATTTAATTAAAATTCCGCGATTTTTCTTCCATTACAAAAAAACATTTTTTTATAACTGCAAAATACGAAATCTGGTGATAATGAATTGTCTGCATGCATTTATTTCAATGGTCTTGAGAATATTATAGTCCACAAGGAAAGTTGAGCATACACTGTACATTTAAATCCGTATCATATTTTTTAATTGTCAGAAGAAGAAAAATTCGAGAATTTTTTTTTTTTACAAGATTAAATCGTACGTAACGTTTCAAGTAAATATTACTCTAAGAGATCAATGTAATTATATAATTGGTTTTTATTTCATAGATTTCCAAAGAAAAAGAAAAGAAAGAAAGTAAATAGATTTAAAGTGTTTTGAAATAAAGTTGTATTATATATGATACTTTGAATTTTTGAAGTGGTAGCAAAAATTACTTGAAATGAAAATACAAACTAAAAATAATTTAATTTCCGTTACCACTTAAAAATATATTTTTAGAAATTGTAGATTTTGCATTTCAATTATCTCATTCACCCAACAATTACATGCGACAAAAGTTCGCTTTTTAAAACTTTTTCCAGACAGTTGGACTGGTAACAACTATGCTTAATGATAGACATTTTATTGAGTGATAGATAACTAAAGACTGAAACTTGAAGAATTTTACGTAGTTTTGCCAACATATTTTAAAGCTTATTACGAAGGAGTTGGAAAAAAAGTGGCTTTTCATATGAACTTTTGAATTATTTGTGGAGTAGAAAAAACTTTAAAATAAATTTACAAAACAAAGAACCATTCATTAAAGCATACATTAAGCTATCACAAGAAGAAATTCTCCCTAAAAGCGTAAAAAGTTGGGATACTTGGAATCATGGCCACACTGATAAAAGTAATTTTTAATAAATTATCTCACTTTGGATCTAGATACATTTGCTTAGAGTTATTAAAATATTCTGGTAGTGAAAAGCACAATAAACTCTGTCACATTTCATTTAAATATTTCTACCACATTTTAACAATTTTACCAGATATTTACGAGTCCTGAGTTTTATGAAGTCGAGTAGAATTTCATGCCACCGTGAAAGCGATCCGTAAATATTCATAATCCACATACATAGAATACCTGATAATCATTTAATGCTGTTTTACATGCTGATAAATTTTTTTAAACTTATGGTTATAGTTATTAACTCACCCGTTTTTTAACGACTATTAGAAAAACCGTTCCTAAAAATAAAAAAAATAGACAACTATACTTCTTTTACTCAGAATTTTAAAATAAAAAATTTATTCGACTTTTTTATTATTTCAAATGAAAAAATTCAATTGCTTATTATATATATATTCCACAACCAACAAATAAAACTATGCTTACCTAATTGAAAAGAAATCACTGTTGGAGTTTATGAGTATAAATAAATCCACTTGCCGGACTTGTGGCAACAGCGCAACGTCCTTTTCTAAAAAGGTGAGAGGATCGTCTGCTTTGAGTCGGCCATTGCCATCATCTTAATATAGCTGCTCCATATTCTAGCCTGTTAGTAGGACAAGACTCACTCTCCCTCTCTTTAAGTCCCCCAATCAAAACTGGTTATGATGTGAGCACGAAAGAAAGTTAATTAGCTTGATTTGAACTCCGCTTTTTTTTTCTTTTTTTTTTATCAATAGAGAAGGAAGCCGATTCCCTATTTCCGGTTTGAAATTGTTTCACTATGTATAAATATACTCTGTAGTTGTTCATTTTACTAAGGCGTCTAATGACAATGTATTCACTTTATAGTAAATGTTCTAGTTAGATGTATCATATTTATAGCGAGAGTGATTTAGAGTTGTTCTAATCTTTATTCAGCCACAATAAATGTATAATAGAATTTGAAATGGCACAGTTCTAAATTAACCTATTTGAAATCGAACAAAAAGTGAAAGTAAAATCAAATTGAAGGAGCTGATATCCTGCTCAGCGGTTCTCAAATGGTGTACCGCGGAACCTAAGGGTTCCGAGAGTTAAGAATTTTTTTAACCAGTTATGATTTTTGAAAACTATAATTATATTTATATCCAGTTAATAATCCGTTATTTATTTAATATTTCCGTTCTTCTTCATGAATGCATTTAATGGAAATGCTTGTGAAGAACTGTACGCGAGAGGAATACAGGATAAACAATCAGAAGACATTTTTTTAGAACAACCATTTTATTATTATTTTTTATCTGCTTTTTTCTCTCGTTGCCATTCGCAACTCTCATAAAAATTGGATGAATAGACATGTGACATATGATGTTCCTACAATACTCCCTCACCAGTAACTAAGTTACGATGCTAGGCAAGTGTGTCAAATTTGTCATATAATGATAATATAACATAACAACATATACACAATTCAAGTTTTTACTACATAATGACTCATCATAATACGAAAACATATATACAAGATATTAATATAACAGGTATACAAATTATACCATTCTAAATTCTAGTTTCAATGCAATAAAAAAATATAGATAAAATAAATGTATATGCATCTAATTAATACAGTTTTGCTCTAAAAAGCGAACAGGCTTTTTTATTTTTCTGCCAAATCTAGACATTTTAACATTTTGTTCGGGATTGTCTGCTTTTTCTTGAAATTTATACGATGTTAAACATTCGTTAGGTTTTGTATTTTTTAGGTTTTCATCGTTATCCGAATTCTCATTTTCAGAATTCAGTAGATACGCTGGTTTAAGCCTATCTATTGAAATGCTTACGGTTTTTCCTTTATAACTAATTACAAAATACTTTTCTGTCTTATCCATCACTTTATAGGGTCCTTGATAAGGAGACTCTAATGGCTTCCTGACTCTATCAATCCGCATAAAAACATGTGAACATGAACTTAAATCTTTGTGCACAAATACTTTGTTCCTTTTGAAATATTTTGACTCTAAAGGTTTTAATGTTTCCATTTGATTTTGAAGATTGCTAATAAAGTTTTCCGTGGATGTTGTCACTTTTGAGTTATCAAAAAATTCACCAGNATCCGAATTCTTATTTTCAGAATTCAGTAGATACGCTGGTTTAAGCCTATCTATTGAAATGCTTACGTTTTTTCCTTTATAACTAATTACAAAATACTTTTCTGTCTTATCCATCGCTTTATAGGGTCCTTCATAAGGAGACTCTAATGGTTTCCTGCCTCTATCAATCCGCATAAAAACATGTGAACATGAACTTAAATCTCTGTGCACAAATACTTTGTTCCTTTTGAAATATTTTGACCCTAAAGGCTTTAATGTTTCCATTTGATGTAGCATTAAAGCCTTTAGGTAAAGTACTAGTAAAGTTTTCCGTGGATGTTGTCACTTTTGAGTTTTCAAAAAATTCACCAGGAAGTTTAATGCCTTTACCATAAACCATCTGAGATATTGAATAGTTGGTGTCATCGCGTAGAGCAGCTCTGAAACCAAGTAAGACAGTAGGAAGAGTTTCAGACCATTTAATAGAGTTGTTGGCCTTCATTGCAGTTTTCAATGTACGATGTTGACGCTCAATTTTGCCATTGCACTGAGGATGATATGTAGTTGTTCTGTTGATTTTTACTCCACATAAGTTGGTAAGAGATTTAAACGTTTCAGAATCAAACTGTGATCCTCTATCGGTAATTACTCTGTATGGCTCTCCAAATCTAACTATCCAATTTTCATAGAAACATCTGACGACTGCTTCAGCTTTGATATCAGGTATAGGAACTACTTCTATCCAGTTTTGTAAAACGGTCAATACAAGTCAAACAATATCTGTTTCCATTGGATGGGGGTAACGGTCCAATTAGGTCAATATGTATCTCGTTAAATCTTTCATCGGGTTGTTTATATTCTCCAAACTGGGATTTAGTATGTTTTGAAATTTTGTTTTTTTTGGCAATCAATACAGGATTGTGCCCAAATTCTAACATCTTTTCGCATTCCAGGCCAAATAAATCTTGAAGTTATCTGTTTGACAGTTGATCTGATTCCTGGATGAGATAAACCATGTATCTGTTTGAAAATAATCATTCTTGAATTTTTAGGAATATATGGTCTAATTATATTAGTAGAAATATCGCACCATAGAAATTTACCAGATTGCAGTGGTTGTTGTTTAAATTATAATGTTGTGACTGATTGCATTAGTTGTTTTGATTCTTCATCACTACTTTGATCATCAGCAATTTTATCATTATCTACAGTAGTTACTTCTTGAATTCGACATCAAGCGTCTGCAATTATTTTATTTTTGCCAATAATGTGTTGAAAGTCATTCGAAAACTGGGATATGTACTGGAGATGTCTATTTTGTCTTGGAGATGCTTTTTCATTCTTTTGTTTGAAGGCAAAAATCAGTGGTTTATGATCTGTAAATATAGTAAACTAGGAGGCTTCGCCCCCTGCTCGCTGGCGCTCGTTATCCCCCGGAACTGCTTTCGCAGTTCTTTTCGGATTGCTTCGCAATCCAATGCTCGCTTTGCTCGCTCATTGGATACGTTCTTAACGTCTAGCTTTTGTATACTTTTTTGAATACTGAAGTTCCGAAAAATTTTCACTGCAGAAAATTCTAAACCTGTACATTTCAATATTAATTTGAAATTGCAAACAGTTCACATATTTTGCTTAATCACACTATTCTAAATTTCAGTTGTTGAGAAAAGTAACTGTTGTAAGTTTTGTTCTAAAGTCTTTTCCACCAGAGAGCTAAAGCCATGTGTTGTAAAACAATATGAAAAAGTAGTCTGCCGCTGAACGCCGGATGTAAAGCATCGGCTTCGATGAAGATAATTTTGTATTTTTAATTCTCTGAAGGGCACCACCCTAATAATATGGAATTTGTAAAATAAATGTATATATTTTTGATTGTTGATGAAGCCCATCATTTTGTGTTTTCATCAGTGTTCAGAAGCAGAACAACTATAAGTTTTTTATTTTATCACAAAAAAATAAAATGTATAAAAAACAAAGAAAAGAGTAAGAAAATGAGTATAGTCATAGAAAAAGTTAAAATTATAATATAGTATTTGTCAGTTAAAATAAAACTTTTTGTTTAAGTCATTGCTAACAATTCAAATTTCTCCGAGGCAATTCTAAAGTATAAATTAAGGTAGTATTGTTAAGTTGAAACACAATATTTTTAGTTTTGATGTCAACAATACAATTCAATTTTTCACAAAAACGATTGTTTCCATTGTTAAGTTCAATGTCAACAATTCAAATTTTTCTGAGGCAACTCTTAACCTCTAAATATTATTTTTTTTATGTACACATTTCTAAATGTCAGTATTCAACCACAAAACAACTTAAAGTCCTCAAATTTAGCATCAAGTTGTAAAATGTAATGAAAGAGGGTCATAGCAATAATGTAAATAGAAGTAAAGTTAGTACTGTAAAAAATTAAAACAATATTTTTAATCAATGAGCCAAGTTCTTCAAGAAGCAGTTGTAGAAGTAGCTGGATGGAAGTTTTTTTGTTTAAAACTTTTTATAGAATTTCTTTAAATAATATATGTAGTGGGGTAATCAGGGCCTGATCGAGAAATGTGGAGAGCGTGTTGATGGAAATTGAAGGCTTAAATTTATTAAAGTAAATTGAACAATAATAGTTTCAGTACTAAGATCAAAACAAGTTATACATTCCACTGTTACTGCAAGTGACAAATTTAATGGAAATAAGTTTTGTCAATATTCATTCACAAGTATTACATAACGCTCAATACTTAAAAAACATACTGTATTTTGCGCATCCACCTATATTTATATTTTACTCAGGTCGTAAAAATCGTTACTATTTTATTTATTGTTATTTATTTCAATTTATATTATAATAAAAGTGGATCACAGTTTTATTATTTTATATTAAACCTTGAACCGACCCCCTGACGTTGTTCGGGGACCCCGAAATCAATTTTAATTTTCTACGGACCCCCTGAATGACATCGGGGACTCCTGGGGGTCCGTAGGGACCACTTTGGGAACCACTTATCTAATTGCTTTCTAAAGACTAATCGAACCAAACTATCATTTAGTTTGATCAAAAATTCTCAAAAATTTTTTCTTCATTTTATAAAATACAAATCCTTCTTGTTTGCTTTTTAATACTTTCTATTTTCAAAAATATTATATAAAAATATTACAATATTTCTTTCTTCACGTTTCATTTTTGACTAAGCAATTACTATTTCGATTTTCCTATTAATGCTTCGAAACGCTGATGAGCACACATCAGCGTTTCGAAGAATCGCTGTTCGAAGAAGCGTTCCAAATTAAATTTTTATTTTGGTCAAAATTATATACTGAGATGAAAAATGCATAAATAAAAAAATTTAAAATAGGGAATGTTAAGAAAACTTTGACTTTTAAACTAATATGATCAATAAACAAAAATTGTGATTTTATTCAAATTTTTCTGCTTTGCTACACGCGACTAAACATTTTTTAGAATGGTAGGCAGTCAAAACCTATAGCTTTCAAAATTTTGATTAATCGTGCCAACACTTGAAAAAAATTTTATGTCGACTTTTAAATCATTCACATGTAATGGGGGAATTAACTAAGAAAGAACTTCTATAAACAAAA